TGGTGACTTGGTGGGCAGACTGGCTTGGTTCTGGTGTTTGGGGCATGTCAGCTGGATGGATGCTGTTTGGTCTGAAGGAAAAGACAGAGCACTGCCCTGTGTCTGCTCTTCTCACTCTGAGAGGAAATTGGTGTTAATGGTATCATTTTTTTCTCCTCCTTGTGTCTCTCTATCAACCCCAACCTCTGTTACACAAACTCTTTTTCTTTCTTCAAATCCCCTCATATTTCCCATTTTCCTATCCATCTATCTCTGCTTTGCTTCCATGTCTCATCCATTGCAAATCTTTCCCTTTGCTTCTTTTGTTCTTGTTTTTCTCTCCTGTGCCCCCCCACAATGATTTTTTAATTTTTTTTTTTTTTTACCTATTCTTCTTCTCTTCTTCTCTGGCTCTCCCTCTATTTTCATCCCTGAAACAGTCAGAAGTTGAGTTTTAAAGAGCGGGTCCGGATGGCAAGTCCTCGTGGTCAAAGCATGAAGAGCAGGCAGACACCCATCAATGACCGCCAGCGCTGTTCCCCTGGCAACGAGGTGGTGGGTGGCTCCGAGCTGATGGGCGGGAGCCCGGCCAAAGTACAAAAGAGCTGGAGCTTCAACGACCGTACACGGTTTAGGCCATCGCTGAGGTTGAAGAGCCAGACTCGCTCTGTTGTTCCAGATGGTGGGTGTCCATCTCACTGTAAATGGAAACCAACAAACCAACACAACATCTGACAAATTATCCTTTTAGCACAGCATGACACTGTAATTTTGTTGCATCTCTTAAAAATCATTGGCCAGTGGGGCATTTATTACAAACACATGCTGTGCAGCCAATCTGTTCAAATTCACAGAAATTCATCTTATATTCTGGAAACACCATATGCCAATTTGTCTCGCTGAATTCTTGGAAAGTGCTTATAAGATGATGCTCAAGGCGATGAGAATAGTTCCTTTAAAAGCAATGGTGCATCAAACTGTTTAAATATTTCACTAAATGTAAAAATGCTAACAAGCTGAATACAGTATAAATGTGAAACTGACTGTGTGGAATTAGGAGATAAAAGCTTCTTAAGAACAACAAAAAAAAAAGAGTAAAACCTTTGGGGGTGGGGCATACATCCCCACAACCAGTGGTCTAAAAACTTATGACAGTTAAACACATTCTAAAGTCGAACTGCCAATAATAAGCAGAAACAAGAACTCATGAAAACAATTACAAGAACAATGGAAATCCTCTGGTATTAAATATTTAAAGCCCCTGAAATGGTTTTATAACATTTTCATGCCATTCATACTGACTGAGAAAATACTGGAGGTTCCCATGGCCTTTTCAGATCAGATAGACTGCTTGTCTATATATAATGGACATTTCTTGTTATAGTTGATTTTGTTCTCATTTGGGTGAAATGTTTATTAAAGTGAAAATTGTTTTTGGGGATGAACTGAAACCACTCGCTGTCTGGGGTGTTGCCTTTTTAAATCAGACTAAAAGCTTGTGGTGTGCTTTGGAAAATGTCCAATCATTTAGTGTGCATATATTTTTATACAATGAAACCTGTATCAGCATGGTTCTTTTAAAATTATCATCTCTAAACTTTATTGTCTGTGCATTATGCATATATAGGATGATGAACATCATGCATTTATTTCTTTTTATCCAGGTAGACTTATTGCACTTTGAGAAAACTCATAACAGACTTGAATGGTATGCTTTCATATTATGTACTTTAAATCTTTTACTTTTAAATTTTCATTCCAACATTCTTGCTTTTACCACTTTGAAGTGAACTGGAATTTATGAATTTATTTATACAGTATGTTGTGTACTAGTTTTACCTCATTTCCCAGGAACACCTGCCCTACAGAAATACATGAAATTGCTCACTGTTTCAATAGCACCTTTATTTTTCATCTTATTCACTTGTAACATTTATTCAAACAGATTTTATAGCCTCTTACATGCATATCGTGATTCACTCCATGTGCCCCGTGCTTTCCTCTTTCTCTTTTGTCTGTGAGGTACATGAACATATATAAACTGTACCGTGCTTTCCTCTTTCTCTTTTGTCTGTGAGGTACATGAACATATATAAACTGTAAACCCTCTTTCTCATCTCACTGAGCTGGCATAATGCTGCCCATTCCTAAAGCTCCCGTCCAAGCAAGACATAAATTTTCACCTCCTAAAAGCCAAAACTGTATCATTTTGAAACATTGTCCTGTCAAAACTTGCTATGCAGAAGGTGTTTTATGAGGCTTAAGACTGAAACTAATTTTGCATGGGTCTACATTTATTGATGAAACTATGTTCTGTCTCTCTCAGTGGACACAGGCATGACCACGGAGGATTCCTTTGATGAGAGGGGCTGCCATTGCGATGTTACAGTGGAGGATCTATCAGCTCCCCTCAAGGCCGTCATTAGAGCTGTCAGGTGAACTCTTTCTGCTGTTGCCCTTTATATTTCAGGCCTTTTAGCTGATGCTCCTATACTTTAACCCAGCCAAATCCTAGAAACCTTTGAGGGCCTAACTCAGCTGGTAAAGAGGGTTCACTACTATGAAAACACAACAGTACACAGTGAGGCTGCAGCACTATCAACAAGATTATCCACGTGTGGGAGTAAAGTTAAAGTGGCCGCCCTCCATTGTGTTGGCACATGGCACTAAAGTAAATAAAGATGCAATTATTTCCTTAAATTTGGTAACAGCATTGTCAGACAGACATCTACTGTGGTGTGACATTTCCATTTCAACACCAACACCCCCCCCCCACACACACACACACACACACAGTGTATAATCAAGTAATGTCAATTCAAAAGTTATTAGAAAAGGGTCAGACAATTATGGGTGTGATTAAAACATTAATTTTGTTAACCTCCAACTGCCGAAGTTGGGAGTCATTAACACCGACGTGAATAACAACCTTACTGTATTTACCTTTATCCTTAGTCAGCAGCTTTAAATAGAATCCGATGTTGACCGCTCTGGCCCCAGGATACATCAGACTGACTCTAGCTTCACGTTTCTGACCATGGAGTCGCCAAATACCAGAGTTGTTTTCTCAGCGGGTGTCTCCGAGTAGGAAAAGCCGATCTGAAACGTGAACAGGCAGGCGATGCACTGTGGCCATTTGTTTCGAGCTACTACTCATTCATCCAGCCACCTGACCGAGATCCCGGGTGCTCGGTAAGCGATGATGGGCGGCTAGCCTGGGCTAAGCTACGTCTGGGAGGCCCCGCACCGGCTACCAGGCTCTGGCTAGCTGGACTGTTTACCAGAGCGCAGAGTCCAATTCGGTGAACCTCGCCTCCAATGCTGCTAGCATCTGACATTTATTACAAGTACCATTATCGCCAAAGGAGGCAGAGGAATAACATACATAACATGCGACACTCCAAGCAAGAGAAAGGAGAGGAAGAGGGGGAAGTCATTGCTCTCAACTAAGCTACTAGCTTAGCTAGCTTAGCTAGCTGACCTAAAGTAGCAAGTTAAATTTGGAGATTATCAAGAAATTCTGTAACACAGATGCTTAAGTAGCACAGGCGTATGCTGTAACTCAAAATGTTAACTGATATTCCGATAAATCTAGAAATTTGTGTGTCTAATCTTTAAACAATCTAGTAGCAAACACGGTGCAGCACATGAAACAGGAAGTGAATCCTATTACCGCAGGAACCGGAAACAGCAGTCCTCCAAGAAGGTTAAGAAGAACTGGAATGTTTATTTTAAATGATAAAATATGAGTCAGAGCTCTCATGCAATAAAGTGAAAAATGTTAGATACTTTTGCGGGTTTCCTTCCCTTTAAAGTAACATTTTTAGTGTTATCATTTATGTTTTAAGGCTGATAACAGCAGAGAAATATTTGTTCAGTAATAAAGTTCACTTATTTATTAAAAAAAAATCTGCACCAACAAAGGGGGGCCCCCCCCCCCCCCAACACACACACAAATTAAAGGCTTGAAATGGAAATGTCAAATGAAAGCCCATTCATTATGATTTGCAGTTTTGCACCTTTTAATGTCATTAGTTTCTCATTTTGGCTTTTACATCTCACCAATTATCTAAAATGTTTCCTTGTGTATTTGTCATTCCAATCACCCTCTTTCTCTCTTTCTCTTCATGATTTCCCTCTTGCACAGTTAAACCATTCATCTTGCATATTACTGAACCAACCATTTACTCAGAATAGGCTGTTAAAGTGATTAATATATACAATAAAAATATATTTTATTCTCAACATGTGTAGAGATGCCATATATATGGACAACAAACATTTTTGTACACTTTGAACTAGCAATATATATTTACACATTTGTTACAAAGCTAGATGTTTTTTAGCCCTGTTGGTCTTTGGGTTTTT